CATGCTGGCTGGGGAATTCTGGGAGTTGAAGTCCACATATTTTAAAGTGGCCAAGGTTGAGAAACACTTTAGAGTTTCACAGAGAGAATAAGTCCAAAGAGAATCATAGAAATAACAGACCAGTCAGCTTGATGACAAACTGGGCAGGAACAGATGACTAAACAGTGTGTTTGCAAGCCCTTGGATAGTCATCCTACAACTAATAGGAAACAGCACTAGTTTATTATAAACAAATCATGTAAGACCAACTTCATCTCCTGCTTTGATAGCGTTACTAGCTGAATAGCTCGGGGGAATGCCAGACAAGGTGGACCCCAGCAAAAGCTTTCCTGCAACACAGACCCTCATGATGGTCTCCTACCTGAAGGGGTGAAATGTTGGCTGTTAGGTGGACTTACCACGGGGTGAATGGTGGCACCCAAGAAAGCTCATTGAATGGAGGGCCAGAGAAGTCATCGTTGAACTGGATGAGAGAGGGGACATTTATAAAGCTTGCTGATGACCCAACGTGGGGAGAGCCATAGGCTACCTAGGCCTCAAGAGGAATGATTACTCTTCTACCTTGATGTAACTCGTCCCTTCACCTCTCTATGAATGCCTGGCCTAGATGTAAATTTAGGATGTACCTGTGTCTAACATCGCCCCTTCTCTGCCTAGAGACTGTTCCCCTTTGGCCATGACCAAGACAGGAAAACCACCTAGCATCATGGCAGACACCAGGCTTTCTACTACTTGCATTCAGAAACAATACATGCCACACTGCGGTTACGTGGGTATGAGGTACAATGAGTTTAAAGAATGGAAGACAAAGAAATGTCTTTGTAATTTATTTAATTATATGTATAATAATGTAATTACAACATGAGAGCCAGTGTGGTCTAGTGGTGGAGGCACCAGGCTAGAAAGCAGGAGACAGTGAGTTCTTGTCCCACCTGAGGCATGAAAGCTGGCTGGGTGGCTTTGGGCCAGTCCCTCTCTCAGCCCAACTCCCCTCACACGGTTGTTGTTGGGGGGGGGGGAATAGGAGGAAGATGTATGAGGTATGTTCGCCACCTTGAGTTATTTATACAAATAATAAAGGCGGGATTAAAGAAATCTAAAAAAAAAATGTCCTTGTTCTACCGGCTCACCAAAATGCCACAACTGGCCATACTCATTTCTGGGCTGCATTTCTTTCCTACAACATTGTCAAATTCTTATCCAGAAATTAAAGTGTATCTAAGAATGAGATGATTGAAAATGGAAGAGGCTGGCCACAGAGCCCTAAGCCAGTGTTTTTCAACCTTAGCAACTTTAACACATCTTAAAGTTGCCAAGGTTGAGAAACACTGTTCTCAGCTAAGGAGGTTCCGAGAGACGTCAAGTCCTACAGATATTCTTCGTATCATTCGTCCCAATATCAGTTATTTAGGAAAAGGTTGCAGTGATCTCAATGAAATTCAAACAGAGTTTCTAAAGCATTAATAACTACCCAGACTCTTGGCCCCAGTTCAAATACCGGTTGAGGTCATTATATCAGAAGGAAAGTACCCCAGGCCTCTCTCAAACCATCAGGGCTTAGCATTTTCCCATACATGCTAAGATCTCCTCCAACTAACATTTACTTCTAAGCAACCATTGCCACTTCGCTCCTTTACCCCAACCTAAAAACAGAGAAGAAAGTTTAAAGTTTAAAGCAGCATTGTCTACGAGGGAAATATCACTCAGCACTTCCCGTGATTAAGGCATTCTTGTCATAAATTCATGTGTAACATGCAGTGTGATTAGAGTGTAGAGAAATTGGATTGAAATCCAATTTCTGGATGCTCCAAGATCACTCGTCTCTACAACTCCCTGCTCAACTCAGCACCCTCCAGATGTTTTTGACTAAATCATCCTCCAGGATGTTGGCTGAGAATCATCCCCTGATAGCTGGTTTAATCTGTTTCCACTGGAAGCTTTCCTGTATGTATCAAGCATCATGTTCAGCAAAGAAGCCCCACGACAGGTAAGAAGAAAGCCCAGTTATTTTACTGGACCAGCATTCCCCAGCGGGACGTCCTTCGGATGTTTTGGACCCCAACTCGGGTCCCACGGCCAAAACTGGATTCCGGCTGAGAATGACGGAAGCTCGATTCCAAGGCACCTGGAGGACGCCAGGTGTGGGAGGCTGAACTCAAGCCAGAGGGAACGCTAGAGAAGGGGGAAACTCCCCACGCATCGCCCCCCGAGGGCCTGGCGGAGCCTCCCGCCGCCCGACACCCTCCGCACGCGCTGCCCGCCCCCCAACCCGCTCCCGGCCCTGCTGGCTGCAGCAGGAGGGGTTTCAAAAGAGCCGAGAAGCGCCAAGCTGGAGGATCGCAGGGTCGTCGACCCCAAAGGCTCTTACAAGCGCGCGCCCGCCTGGCTCCGCTGCTTTGCCTCCTGAGCTCGTTTTGAGCGGGGGAACCTTCTCACGCCCCCTCCCGTAGAGGAAAAGCCGCTCTTCGGGGCGGGGATGGAAGGCGAGCCCATCCGCCGAAGCCCCC